GAATCTACAGAGATGATCCTGGGCTATACTGACACAATCCCACCATTTCTTGGCCCAAACGGACCCCTCTTTTCGAAACAATCTCTGGGGGGTACTTTTTATGCGCCTCGTCCTGAATTTTCCTTGAATTGGGACACTTCACCCTTCAGACTAGACAGACCTAGCCTGCCTAGCGCCTAAACAGCTGTTCTGCAGAGTAGCGCCCTCCAGCGGATCATAATTGCCATTACTGTTGCAACATCAAGCAAAGATGGCGACGAACAGCGGCGACAGAGGTAAAACTTGTCATCAAAAACATTAGTTCAACTCGTCATAATCTTGCCCTGATGCAATTTCAATGAAAATAATTGTGATTTTGAAAAGTATTATATTTTTGCCAATTTGAATGTTCATTCAACATTCAACGAGCAGTTGCACTTTGACATATTTGAAATGTCCGAAAGCAAGGCAAGCGACCCTCACCTCCTCACCATGCTCACTCCGCTCGTGTCAGTCACTGCTCGCTCACCTGCTCACCTAACATGCCTAACGTTAGGTCTAGATCTACATCATGACCTAGGTTTGGGCATGTTGGGGGTTTTATCCTAAATTGTACCGTGGGCCTCGGCCTATGGCTGCAAATTATGGCATATTCGGCGAATTTCTATTCATCATTTCATACTATTTACCTAGTACCTCCAACCACAGGCTCCATGTACCAGCACCCCAGTGTCATTGAAAAGAAAGAGGCTGGACCAACCAAGAGTTTTTATTTTAAGATGCCCATTCCCTTGTCGGGGATTGTATACTTGGGGACCCCCTAGTTGTTTGTCATATTAATCTTGCAAAACGAGCAAGTTCTCCCAAAAACAAAGGCAACGCTCCTTAATTGCACTGACCCTATTTTTTGGAAATTTCAAATTGTGAGAAAATGTGACTTTCTTACTGATACCAGCCACGTCAATTTGAATCCACCATGTGTAGTGTTAAAACACTTGCAGAATCCCGTCATAATTACCCTCAAACTCAAAATGCCCTTTTTTGAAAAAGTCAACCCTACAGACAGTTAGTGAGCATGATGTCACACTCATTTACCAAGGTGAATTCAAAAGTTAAAATGTAGCTCTCTCTTCTATTATAGGAACAGGGTCCCCAAATTTACAATCTCCCCCCCTCCCGTTGAACCCTGCCCTTCCCCTCACATGACTCGTTCAGCATGTTTTAGACAGACAACCTGACAAGACACGTTAGGCGAACACATTCAGTTGTTTCAATCAAAATTGGATAGTCTTAAGTGAACTTGTTTGGAAACGATGGACAAGCACGGACAGTGGTCTGCGTTTGCAAATGAAATGGTGTGTCTTCCCATGGAACTGCAGTTCAGCATGCCTTCCCTAGCGTTTTGCTTAGTATATTTATTTACTTCCTGTGTTCCTCCGTCAGGGTGATATTCATCTGATGAAATAAGCAATATCAGTTTTTGAAGTCAGTTTTTTCATTCAAAAATGTATAATTTATACATTTAAAAATCTGTGGAATGTACGGGGGTTTCCCTCCACAGCTTCAAAATGCAGCCTGTAGTGGGAGCCCTTCCAATATCAGTCACACAGGATGGTTAATGTAAACAAGAGCCCATCCCTCCACCTCCCGAAATGTTTGAGCTGATTTATATGAAGGCAAGCTGTCAACCCTGACTCATGCACAGTGTGTTTGCATGCAAAGTGCACAGTTTCCGGTTGCCCGTCTGCATGTAAAGTGCCTTACTTCGTGCCTTTTTTTTGTCCCCAACTTTCTGTTTGGTATTTGTAATTAGGCAGCGATCCTGACATGAGCGATGACAATGCAAAGAAGCCGAGGTGTTCACCTTCAGACCCGACACTGAAGACCCCGATTCAGGAAACCGGGGGGACGAATGGTTCCAGCGAAGCCAACATGGAGTCTGCCTGCCAGCCGAGCCCAACCTCAAACTCTCAAAGTCAGACAAACAGTGCCGGTGAGCCGGTTGACTCGTCCGCCGCCATGGAAACTGAGGACAGACAAAAGGACACTGGAAACGGTGCTGAGGTTGCTATGGACGTTTCGGCTGAAGCCAAATCGAGTAATTCTGCGGAGGAGACGACACCGGAAGTGTTAAAACCCAAAGAAATGGTGGACTTCAAAGTCATGTATAACAAACAGAAATATGACGTCAGCTTTGATCTGGACGGGACCGTTGCAACTCTCAAAACACACGTACAGACGATAACAAGTGAGTTCATTGGTTTTTAGTCCTAATGACCCTCAACCAGCCAGACTCCAACACCAAGGCCTGTCGGCATCTGTTAGGATGAGTACTGACTCTAGTATACTGACTGTTTCATGTGGGATTAGGCATATCACAAATGAACAGAATTCATGTGCGCATTTTGCACTATGGTGTTGGGATTAGCAAGGATGAGGTAGGTTCCTCGTAAATCATTGGCGGGAGTTAGGGTAAGTCTTTGACATTCAGCTCACAACCCACCTGTTGGTTGCTAGCAGTGAATCCATTCAGTCCAGGACCACTGACTGACTAGTGATTTGTTTTGACTTGCCTTACAATCTGTGCAGTGGTGTCAAAGTTAAAACATCTCCGGTTGACCTATGGCCACGGTCCTGCTGTTCCCTGCTCTGTAATGTTTTTTTATTTTACACATGGCCGTTGGTAACCAGAGACCAACTTCAGTAGGCTGGTTCTGAGAAGCAGACTACCCTGGACCAACCAACGTTGACTAGCATGGTCTAAAAAAATGCTTCCCCGGACATCTTGCTAAGCTAATTTATGTAGTCAGCTAACATTGGCAGAGCACCAGGGACCAACAATACACATACAGTGACTTTTTAGCTGATAATCGGTTGATGCTCAGTGAGTGGTCTCACGGCTTAGCTAATTTTTGACCTAACATGTGCTTTTGCCAGCTCTGTGAAACAATCCTACAGAACTTGGCACGTTGAGTTTTGTTTGTCTCAGGTTATGCACGTCCCGTGTCCATTTTGCATATTTTGTAATTGGACAACATTTCACAAGCTGCATTGATGCGATTCTATGGCAGGCGTTCCCGCAGAGATGCAGAAGCTGATGTACCGAGGCTTGATGAAGGACGACAAAACCCTGCGAGAGCTGAACGTCAGCAAAGGGGTCAAGCTGATGCTGATTGGCTCCACGATGAATGATGTCATGGAGGTCAACAAGCCCGTCCCCAAGGGAGCCACCAAGGTCAAAGAGGAAACAGGTGAAATGGGTGTTATTATAACNACTGGAGAGCACTTCGAAGACAGTTATAACAACATCTCTGATGCCCAAGTGATTGCAAAACACAAGTGTCTTTCATCTACAATACCTTTTTTTAACGTCTTGGTGTGTGCATTTTGCCTTTCAAGCAAGTGACAACCCTGGTAGAGAATATCTGGTGCGATCAAGCAATACCAGTCTTTTGTCAACCTTTTTCAATTTGTGCATTTTGTTGATTTGAAAAAAGAACACAGTATCAACTTTATCAATAAAATAAATACATCAACATTTATTTGCCGTGAAAGCCCATGTTCGTACACCTTTGGTTCAACTGTTGTAGCAATCAAAGTTTTGAAAGATGTAACATTTGATTTCAAGATGTTCACTTGAAATGGACATTTCCGAGTCCTGCTCATTTTGCTTTCTTGCATCATTTATGAATGACAATAGACGAAGCAGAAATGTTCGCTCTAAAACTTCCCAAAGCTCTTCTGTCTCATGTGCATGCACGTGCATGCATTAACGGCAGAAAGAAAACGTCTCCCAGTGATATGTGATATGCAGATATGTCGCCCTGTCATGTGATGGTTCTGGGCCAAGTATCCAAGACAGAGATATCACAATTACTTATATCTTTCACCAGCGTAATTTTACAGAAGAGATAAAACTCTCATTTTGCCATCCAACTAATTTTTGAAATCCTGAGATCACAAACCTACTCGGCCTATTTGAGAACAGTAAATTGAATAGTCGTCTTCCCTCTCTGCTAGGAATGAAAGTTCCTTATCCAAGGTTCCAGAGTTCTCAGGTTCCAGAAAACTATGAACTATTGCATTGGTATCAGTACTTTTGAGGAACTTGCATGAGACACGCTTTGATAGTGGGTACTGTTATTTGTTTCCTTCTCCCAAAGCACCGGCAAAGGAGCCACTGTGCAAACAAAAAATGCACAAGAAGATCCTGGACAAAGGCATGCCAGAGGACGTCATGCCTGGATTAAAGAACCGACAGGTACTTGGCATTGAAAAATTTACTCCGAACCCCAATCCTTCTTAATTCACCTTCTGTAAACTCCACTGTGAGGTTTTCAGAGGACATTTGCAAGTTTAGCTAATGTAACTGAAGGTTTGTCATTTGTACATGCATGCGTGAAGAGTTTATTGTCACAACATACTTGAGGAAAGCTTGTAAGTTTTCAAGCTTGTTGAACAGAGGCTTAACTTCTTTAACCCTAACCCTCCAAGGTATTTTTTCTGGAGACCCTGCCAGACAAAGCAATCTCCATCAGTTGTGGAAATGACTTGACTGCACAATGCAGCAAAGTGCAGCTATGGATACTGCTGCATGTGGCAGACAAGGCCGTATGGTGTTTGTCAGTGGTGGTAGAGTCCCTTGCCAATTGCCACACTCTGCATCAGGTTTCTGAGTTGCTGGGAGTTTGACAGTTTTTATTGAGCAAAATGAAATATGTTCAGTAAAATAAGTTGCTGGTGTTTTGGGGATGAAAACTAACTACACTTAATCTTTGGGGTTAACTTTTTACACTGTTTATGTTCTTCTCTTGTAGACCCTTTTGTTGCTTTCCTGCTATCATGTACATTATTTACATTTTGATACTTTCATTCTCTTTTCTTTAGCTGTTCTGTGTATTTCTCCTGTATTATCCGTATTTACCGGTTACTTTTATCTTCTTTCAGCATTCTTTTATTTACATTATATTTACAAGGTTTCTTTTTGTTAACTAAGCAGTTGTAACTCTTTGCCTTCTTTTATGTTTTTCTTCTACTATTTTCAAGCTTCTGTTCTTTCCTTTATGTTCTTTTATTATTTACAATACTTATTTATTATTATAATATTTATTATTTACTCTGTCGCTTTATTTACATGCTTGTTTCTGCCTCCTTACATTCTGACTACTGGCCATGGAAGGCACGGAAGCAGTCCCCCTCACACAAATGTACGTTGCACATGATACATCCGTGCCTTGTGACAGGTGTGTTGCCTGATGGATTCTTGTGGCCAGTTCTCAGGCATCTTTTGCATCTCTTGGCCCACTTTGATGGCATCCTCTGGCGGCGGTGACTTGGCAAACCCTGAGGCTCTCTGGTCTCTGATTGTGGCTGAGCAGTCCCTCTGGAATGTCCTGCGATAAGGCCCTTGGCAACATCCATAACAAAGGAGGAGTGACTTCGCTTAGATGATGGTTTGATGTTCTTTTGGGCACGGTGATGGCAGTATGTTATCCAAGCGTTGACCCTGCAGACATCAATGAGAAAGTACAAGATTTTTCTCCACCAAAGCTGGCTCTTCCTGGAGCAGGTGTAGTAACTCCGGAACTGGTCTGCACGATCAACGCCTCCCATGTACTTAGTGTAGTCAATTGCCTGCCTTGGTGCCGTCACAGTGCCAGGAACACGTCTACCTCCTCGCTTTATCTTCCTCTGCAGCGTGTCTTTGGACTTATGCCTGTATCCTTGGTGGCAGGAACTCAGGAGAGGAAGAACTCTGGTGTCTTTCCACACTGTGGCAGTGAGTTGGCCTAGCTGACGGGAGTAAAAGCTGCCTCTTGGCATTTTGGCCAGCTCCTTCACCTTCTTGTGGTGATGAGGGTTTTTTTCCTCATTGCTGCTGAAGTGGATTGGCAGTCCTTTACTGGCTAACTTCACTGCTCCTGTCAGGTACGTCTTCTCTGCAAGAAGTCTGCGGGCCAACTCCACGGACGTATATAGTTTGTCTGTGTAGATGCAGTGATACCTGCCAAAGAAGGGTCTGGCCACCTCAAATGCAATGTCTGCCATCTTTGCAGACTTTCCCTTCTTGTAAGGATGGACCATGAAGTTAGCCAGGTAGCCGGAGGTGGATTCAGCTGCAGCATATATTTTGAAACCTGCCCTGATTGGCTTCAAAGGCATAAAGAATTTTCTGACTTTGGCTTTGAAACCTGAGTATTTGATCATTGCCTCATCTATAGCTAAATGCTGGCACAAGTTGTAGTTTGCGATCACTTTGGAAAGGACTTCATCCCATACAGGCTGGAGCGGGTAGAGGGGATGGCTGCGCATGTGTCTCTGCTGGTGCTTCCGATCATCAAACAACTCAGGGTGGTTTTCAGGGTTTGTCTTGGGATCAGCACAGGCAAGGTATTTGGTTATCTGATCAAACCTGTGCCGGGTCATCGTGCTGGCAATAAGACGATTGTAGTATCCTGGTTCTGCTGACCAGTAATTCTGATAGTACGGGATCTTGGTGAGTCCCATCACCATGTGGATACCAATCCATGCCCTCACTTCCTCAACCGTTGTGACCATCTGTCTGCCAGCATTTCTGAAGTTCTCGTTAGTCCAAGTTGTGATCTGAACGAGTAGTGCCAGTGGAAAGAACTTCAAGAAGTACTTTACTGGGTCTTTCTTCTTATGAAACTTTGGTCCTTGCTGGGGACCTTCGAATGGTTGAATTTTTATCCTTGTTAGAGATCGTGTCCATCCAAGTTGGTCAGGTGGATAGACATCGTCATCAACATGAGGAGGGTCGGGGTCATTGTCTGAGTCTGGAAGAGGGGTGGGCTTTTTTTGTCTTCCTCTTCTTCGTTTGGCTGGTGCAGGTGATGCTTCACTGCCGTCTTGGGCACCACTCGTCTCATCTCCAATCTCCTCACCACTAGTCTCNGCTGGAGAGCACTTCGAAGACAGTTATAACAACGTCTCTGATGCCCAAGTGATTGTAAAACACAAGTGTCTTTCATCTACAATACCTTTTTTTAACGTCTTGGTGTGTGCATTTTGCCTTTCAAGCAAGTGACAACCCTGGTAGAGAATATCTGGTGCGATCAAGCAATACCAGTCTTTTGTCAACCTTTTTCAATTTGTGCATTTTGTTGATTTGAAAAAAGAACACAGTATCAACTTTATCAATAAAATAAATACATCAATATTTATTTGCCGTGAAAGCCCATGTTCGTACACCTTTGGTTCAACTGTTGTAGCAATCAAAGTTTTGAAAGATGTCACATTTGATTTCAAGATGTTCATTTGAAATGGACATTCCCGAGTCCCGCTCATTTTGCTTTCTGGCATCATTTATGATGACAATAGACTGCTCGCTAGAGACTGTGCGACTGCGCCGTAGTTGGGCACAGGTGAAAATCTGCTTTGATGGGTTCTTGCAAAAACGTTGGTAAGACTGAACGTCATGGATTTGTGCATAAGGGAGATGTCGAGTTGAACACATAACAATTGTTGACTGTTGTGGTGTCGGATATGACATTTTGAACACCTGAGGGACACATGGCGCCCCTGAGGCAAAGGCGCTATGCGTCCCTCAGGTGTTCAAAATATCATATCCCACACTACAGCGGTCAACATTTGTTTGTCATACTTCTGTCTTAAGGAATTTATCCACAGAAACAAGCTCTGAAATTCAGAAGACGATAAAACTGTATAATCAACCTAACAGACATAAATGATATAGCCTGCAAATGCACTGTTCCCTCCCTTTTTTGAATTGCGTAAACTTTAATGTGAAACTAGTGTGGGTACCAGTTAGTACATGTAGTCTGGTTAGCGGTCCCCGCATTACCTTATACGCTACAGGGAAGGGAAGGAGTCTGTTGAACAAATTCCCTGTTAGATTATGCACCAAACATATCATGGGTACCACACAAAACTTTCTAAAGAAGCAGAAATGCTCGCTCTCAAACTTCCCAAAGCTCTTCTGTCTCATGTGCATGCACGTGCATGCATTAACGGCAGAAAGAAAACATCTCCCAGTGATATGTGATATGCAGATATATCGCCCTGTCATGTGATGGTTCTGGGCCAATAAACGGACAGTATCCAAGACAGAGATATCACAATTACTTATATCTTTCACCAGCGTAATTTTACAGAAGAGATAAAACTCTCATTTTTTGAAATCCTGAAATCACAAACCTACTCGTCATAATTGAGAACAGCAAATTGAATAGTCTTCTTCCCTCTCTGCTAGGAATGAAAGTTCCTCATCCAAGGTTCCAGAGTTCCCAGGTTCCAAAAAGCTATGAACTATTGCATTGGTACCAGTACTTTTGAGGAACTTGCATGAGACACGCTTTGATAGTGGGTACTGTTATTTGTTTCCTTCTCCCAAAGCACCGGCAAAGGAGCCACTGTGCAAACAAAAAATGCACAAGAAGATCCTGGACAAAGGCATGCCGGAGGACATCATGCCTGGATTAAAGAACAGACAGGTACTTGGCATTGAAAAATTTACTCCGAACCCCAATCCTTCTTAATTCACCTTCTGTAAACTCCACTGTGAGGTTTTCAGCGGACATTTGCAAGTTTAGCTAATGTAACTGAAGGTTTGTCATTTGTACATGCATGCGTGAAGAGTTTATTGTCACAACATATTTGAGGAAAGCTTGTAAGTTTTCAAGCTTGTTGAACAGAGGCTTAACTTCATTAAGGTTACTCAGGCAGGCTTCCTGACACAGTACTGTTGTCTGACCCATGAGTAACATTTTTGACCTTTGGCCCTCCCTGGACAGGAGTCGTTACCATCAGTGCCCATCTCGGGGATGTACAACAAGGCAGGAGGTAAGGTACGACTCACATTCAAACTGGAGATCGATCAACTCTGGATTGGAACGAAAGGTAAAATACCAAATAACCAGCTCTCTGTCTAGCAGCTTTTATGTCATGTGTGAAAGTTGTGTGGTTTTGTGAACCAGTAAAGCGTGATCTTCTAAACCCTCCTATGCAAACATGTATTTGGCAAAATGCTGTCCTGTCAATCAAGTAGCTGCACTTTGAGCTGGTAGGAGTCCCCTGTCTAGATAATGCAGAAGTGAATGGCTCTGACTGTTGATGTTACTTGATGCATCTTTGATAAGCCAGCTTTGTCTAGCAGTTGCCTGCGTTTGTCTGTTGAGTGAATTACGAAGTACCGACCTGAATTACGATCTGACTGTTTGTGATTGGCCTGTGTAAAGTATAGCGAGGGAAGTAAATTGAGTGTTGACTGTCTGTGGTTAATACAACTGAAGAAGGATCCATTGTGCCCATTGTTTGTTTTGAGATGTTGATATACTAACCAGTAACTTTTGTGGATTCTATTTCACAGAGAGGACGGAAAAGCTTCCTATGAGCTCCATCAAGAACGTAATCAGTGAACCTATAGAAGGGCACGAGGAATATCACATCATGGTGAGTATTGGCTTCTTAGAGGCATAGTGAACCGAGAAAGGGTATCTCCTAATATAACTGGGG